GTCCTCATGTAATAGATGCAAAAATTAATCCACAGAAGGTAAGTGACTTGTCCAAGTTCATTCAGTACATGACGGGATGGCCTAGAATTTCAGTTCTGCCTCCACCTCTCTGTGCTTCACTGTCTCCTTTAATTATATATATATATATCTTAAGCGTAAGGAATAGCTCAGTGTCTCAGGCTGTGTCTAGGTTACTGAAGAGTGTATTTCTCCCTCTGTGTCTCATGTCAGTACTAGATCTCTGCATCTCGGTTTTGCATAAGAAAGGAAAGTAGGAAAGTGACTGGATCTTTCGTTCTTACATAGGCAATTTATAAAATTTAAAGAGAAAACATGCCATTATTACTTCAAATACGTGAACACACACAGCACATCCATTGCTAGCTCTTCAGCTGAAATAAGTAAACCCGAACTAAAAATAGGAGATAAAAAAATAGGTGAGTTTTCCTCTTTTCCCTAGAAAGTGACTCTCTCAGCATAAAACCTCAAAAATCATGCAAATCTCAACCTCATATTCTTACTTACTTACTTACGAATCTCATATTCTTATTTTGAGCATTCTTCTTTTCTTAATAGTTTATCTAAGCCATTTAACCAAATGCTTTTCACAGGTTATAATTACTCCAAAGGTGCCAGCAGGTGGCGTGGTGGTTAAGGTGTTAGACTCCCACATGACCAACCACAGTTTGAGTCCTGGACCTGGTGGCTTGAAAATCATGCCAGGAGTGTATGCATGTCTGCCTGCCTGCCCAAAATCTGGAGAGGAGAATGGAGGAGAAGGGATTGTGGCATGGCCATCCCCCCCAGAGGGGGACTTCTCACTTTCTTTCTCTGTCTCTCTGTCTCTCTCCAGCAAGCACACACACACCACATGGCAAAAAAAAAAAAAAAAGAAAAAAAAGGAAAAAGAAAACTGCTCCAGAAATGATGCTCAGTGGTTCAATGAAACTTTTTTTTTCTTTTTTTTTTTTTCATTTTATCTGTTTATTTGGCTCTTAATGAACTGGAGACAGGAAGAGGCAGAGGGAGGAAGAAACAGAATTTCCCATTGCTTGGCATGGCAGGGGCCTTTAAATCACTTAGTATAATTGTTTCCAAGGGAAAAATGGGGGTAGGAGCTAATGGCTGACCTAACTACACTGACAGTTGACAATGAATCAGAACTGGAACTTAACCCTCCTGGTCACCCAGACGAGCACCCTATAGGAGAGATGAGTATATGCATAGACTGGGATTTGGTTAAACCTGAAAAGAGGGAAGGATCTGTGTAATTTCACTTGGCAGGTGGATCAGCATGTGATAGAGCACTGCTTAGGGGGAAGTCCGGGGTCTGAGAGCCTGACTCAAATTCTAATTCTGTACTAAGTAGAATTTGACGTGTCTAAACCTGGGTGAAGGCAATGATAACTTTACGATATCTAATATCTAGCTATCTTAATATCGATTGCACATTTATTATGTGCCAGGCACCGTTTCAAGCACTTTACACCTATTAGCCTGTAGAGTCTATCTCAAACTCTGAGGTTTAATTCAGATAATATGCATTACAGCCTTGGCCCAGAGTTCTCAATAAATGTATTATTCGGTCAATAATTAGAGAATATAAATATTTAGTAAACAAAGGTATAAATGCTAATAAAATTTGTGAGCGGGACCAGCAAATGGCAAATGGTTAGTTAGCTGAACTCCCACATAGTCAACTGCGTTTTGAATCCCAGACCCAGCAGCTTAAACTTATGCCAGGCATGTGTACATTCATGCCCAAAACCCAGAGAGGAGAATGGAGCCTCTAGAAAACTCCACAGAATACTGATGAGACAGAGTAGAATAAGTAAATAACATCTTAGTATTCTTTTTATTTTTTTAAGAGAGATTTTTGCTGTAAGTTGTGTGCGCTCTCTGGAGAGACAGAAAGAGACAGAGAGACAGAAAGCGAGAACACCCCCCGCCCCCCAGGGAGGATGGCCAAGCTTCAATCCCTTCTCCGTTCTCTTCACAGGACTTTGGGCATGCACACATGTGCCCAGCATGAGTTTCAAGCTACCAGGCCCAGGACTTGAGCTGCAGTTACTATGTGGGAGTCCAGTGACATAACCATTATGCCATCTGCTGGTCCTGATCTTAGTATTCTTATAAAAACTGACCATTGCACTTTTGAAAGATTCCAGGGACCTTTAGCAGTCCTAGGTTACACTTTAAGGACCACAATTTAGGTATAAATTTTAAGGTAACTGAGAAATTTTATAGCCAATTATCATGTTCATTGATAACCCAAGCTCATTATTTAAGCACCTGCCCATCCACAATTTAGGTATAAATTTTAAGGTAACTGAGAAATTTTATAGCCAATTATCATGTTCATTGATAACCCAAGCTCATTATTTAAGCACCTGCCCATCCACAATTTAGGTATAAATTTTAAGGTAACTGAGAAATTTTATAGCCAATTATCATGTTCATTGATAACCCAAGCTCATTATTTAAGCACCTGCCCATCCACAATTTAGGTATAAATTTTAAGGTAACTGAGAAATTTTATAGCCAATTATCATGTTCATTGATAACCCAAGCTCATTATTTAAGCACCTGCCCATCCACAATTTAGGTATAAATTTTAAGGTAACTGAGAAATTTTATAGCCAATTATCATGTTCATTGATAACCCAAGCTCATTATTTAAGCACCTGCCCATCCACAATTTAGGTATAAATTTTAAGGTAACTGAGAAATTTTATAGCCAATTATCATGTTCATTGATAACCCAAGCTCATTATTTAAGCACCTGCCCATCCACAATTTAGGTATAAATTTTAAGGTAACTGAGAAATTTTATAGCCAATTATCATGTTCATTGATAACCCAAGCTCATTATTTAAGCACCTGCCCATCCACAATTTAGGTATAAATTTTAAGGTAACTGAGAAATTTTATAGCCAATTATCATGTTCATTGATAACCCAAGCTCATTATTTAAGCACCTGCCCATCCACAATTTAGGTATAAATTTTAAGGTAACTGAGAAATTTTATAGCCAATTATCATGTTCATTGATAACCCAAGCTCATTATTTAAGCACCTGCCCATCCACAATTTAGGTATAAATTTTAAGGTAACTGAGAAATTTTATAGCCAATTATCATGTTCATTGATAACCCAAGCTCATTATTTAAGCACCTGCCCATCCACAATTTAGGTATAAATTTTAAGGTAACTGAGAAATTTTATAGCCAATTATCATGTTCATTGATAACCCAAGCTCATTATTTAAGCACCTGCCCATCCACAATTTAGGTATAAATTTTAAGGTAACTGAGAAATTTTATAGCCAATTATCATGTTCATTGATAACCCAAGCTCATTATTTAAGCACCTGCCCATCCACAATTTAGGTATAAATTTTAAGGTAACTGAGAAATTTTATAGCCAATTATCATGTTCATTGATAACCCAAGCTCATTATTTAAGCACCTGCCCATCCACAATTTAGGTATAAATTTTAAGGTAACTGAGAAATTTTATAGCCAATTATCATGTTCATTGATAACCCAAGCTCATTATTTAAGCACCTGCCCATCCACAATTTAGGTATAAATTTTAAGGTAACTGAGAAATTTTATAGCCAATTATCATGTTCATTGATAACCCAAGCTCATTATTTAAGCACCTGCCCATCCACAATTTAGGTATAAATTTTAAGGTAACTGAGAAATTTTATAGCCAATTATCATGTTCATTGATAACCCAAGCTCATTATTTAAGCACCTGCCCATCCACAATTTAGGTATAAATTTTAAGGTAACTGAGAAATTTTATAGCCAATTATCATGTTCATTGATAACCCAAGCTCATTATTTAAGCACCTGCCCATCCACAATTTAGGTATAAATTTTAAGGTAACTGAGAAATTTTATAGCCAATTATCATGTTCATTGATAACCCAAGCTCATTATTTAAGCACCTGCCCATCCACAATTTAGGTATAAATTTTAAGGTAACTGAGAAATTTTATAGCCAATTATCATGTTCATTGATAACCCAAGCTCATTATTTAAGCACCTGCCCATCCACAATTTAGGTATAAATTTTAAGGTAACTGAGAAATTTTATAGCCAATTACCATGCTCAGTGATAACCCAAGCTCATTAAGCACCTGCCCATCCACAAAGTGTCCCATCACACTGTTCTAGAAAAGAATGATGACAATGTGTCATCCCTAGGCAATAAGAAACATTGAGTGGGAAATTGTTTACTCATGTATTAATGGACATGCACTCTAGCACTGGAAATTTTATATAAGTTGAGAAAAAATGCAATATTTAAATGGTGTTGAGACACAATGAGATGTTGAATCATTTGGTTATTTATGAGTATGAGACTGCATCTTCAAAATACTTCTGAGTCCAAAAAGTAAGGTGTTTGAGAACCATATTTGGCTTCGTAAATTCATATATCCCCATTTTTTCTGTTTACCATACTGTTTCTACATGAAAAATGGTTATTTTAATGCAAGTTACTCATTCCTTATTATTTTTAAACTACACATAGTACCCTAGGTGTTTCAGGAGAATTATAGCATATTTCACAGCTAAGTTAACAGAGCTGAAAAATGAAAGAATCAATATTACACCTAAAGAAAAAAATGACATTATTTCACTATTACATATTCATGGAGTATAAAAGAGCACTAGCATGAAATGAAGTTGGCTTCCCATTGCCAGTTGGACCATCCTCCGATTGTAAATCATGCAACAACGCACATGGATGCTTCCAGGGTCTGGATTTGAGGAGGGAAAGAATCAGCTTTAACATTGGTGTATTCCTCTCAAGGCAATTCTTGGTTGAATATTTTATCCATCATATGGTCTATTTTCCTGCAATTTTCTTTCTGATATACAGATGCTCTGAGGAAAATAAGTCACTGCAGGATTTTTAGGAAAGAGCTGCATGTTTGAATGCAAACCTCGATGAATAAGCACTGAGGTTTTTCTCGGTTCCCACAGGTTCTTTGCAGCAATAGCCTGCTTGAGTCAACAGATTATTGGTTGCAGAATCAGAGGACGCCTTGCCAGATTGGTTTTGTGGAAGACAAGTCTGAAAACTGCGCTTCTGTAAGTATGCAGAATTCTGGTGTTATTGTTTGATAAAGCAGAGAAATGACCTTGCGTATTGTGCTTAAGAAATAATTTTTGTAATTCTTTAAATGCAAAGTTGAAAAGGTATCTGTATGAGTTTGCTATTGTGTTACAAGACAGAAATACCCGAAATTGGGTAATTGTTAAAGACAAGAAGTTTATTTGACTCATGATTCTGGGGGCTGGAAAATCCAAACGCATGACATCTGGACCCATGGTGCTAAATTACAGCATGACCAAGAGAAGCAAACAGGTCAGTAGTCATGTGCAGAGAAAGAGGAAAATGGACTTTTGCACCTCTTCTCATGCTTCAAGCCAATTGGATAGTGTTCTTCCATTAGGCTCCACCTTTTAAAGTAATATCTCCTCCCAAAGCTTACACTGGAGATGAAGCTTCCAGAACATGAACTGTTCTTTTCTTTCTTTTTTTTTTTTTTGGAGAGGTTTTTTCACTATGGGGTGCGTGCACTCGCCAGACAGACAGAGAGAGACGGAGAGACAGAACGCGAGAAATCACCCCCCAGGGGGGATGGTCATGCCGCAATCCCTTCTCCTCCATTCTCTTCTCAGGATCTTGGGCACGCACGCACACGTGCCTGGCGTGAGTTCTAAGCCACCAGGTCTGGGACATGAACCGCGGTCGACTACGTGGGAGTCCAGCGACATAGCCATTACGCTAACTGCTGGTTCCCAGAACATGAACTGTTGAGGCACAAACCATATCCAAACCAGAGCAGGATCCTTTTAGAAATATGTATTTTAGAGTGTTTATATGGAAGGTTAGCAAAATAACTTACGGAACTAACGTTTCCACTCCAGTCTTGCTCATTCTAATGGGTAAATTAATCTGGTCATTCTTTAAAAAGGAAAAATGTATGTATTAGGTTGTCAGGAAAGTCATGATGCATTTTTACATAGAAAAATGTAAAAACAACTGACAACCCAATAGTTTTTTTAAAAAAAAAATGACTGAGAAAAAAATTCATAAAAAGAATTCTGAGGAGAAATAGAAGACCACTCAATAGATTTCTCAGATTCTTTCCATATATTTTATAACCCTTGCTGGTAGGTATTTTCTGACATGAAAATTCTATAAAAGTTTTCTACCATTCTTATTTTAATGTACTGAAGCTGAAATTTTCATGCAAAACCTTCTTTCTCAGGAGAAAAGAGGTTTTTATAGATAAGAAATATAATTCTTATAGTTAAGAATGTGGTACTTCTTGTCAATATGAAATATGCTTCTTTTTACACATTCTACAAAGATACATGTTTCATTTTGATTAAGTCACCTGGAACTGAAGGGGTCACGATTACACTGGGGGATGGCACTTCCAAAAAAGGAGAGGAATGTAATGTATTTCTCATGGCTAATTGAATGCATCAGCTATGAGCTATTCCTGGAGGTAAGTTGCACGCTAGCATTTCTGTTAAAAGCCAAAAAACGGAAGCTGAAAATGACAGGAGAAGTTTTTTTATACATAATGAACAGAATCAAAGAACCAGAACTGTCAGACAAAGGATATTAAAAAGAAAAATTTACAATATAGAGTCTCACAACACATGAAATGCAGAGTCCATTTATTTGATAGACTTAATTGAATCTCTTTGTTTAGGCAAATGATTGTGATACTCCTACTTCTAGTATGTTTGATCTTTTGTCCAGAAAACTAGTAGCTGGCTTAAAATTTTAGGGAAAACAAGCAGGATTAGGTGACAAGTAATTTAATAGTGATACCTTCTTGAAGTTCAGTTTTGAGGTAGGATGGAAAATTCAAGCTTTTGCTGATAATAGATCTTTAATTACAGTTATAAAGTGTCAAAGAGAAAAATGGAGGGTATCTATGGCCACTTTGGTTAAAGTTGTCATCAAACAGCTCCCATATTGGAAAGTCTTCCACTTGGAGAACACATGAAAGCAGGGGTCCTACTAATGTGAAGGGCAAAGAAATCTCTGACCTTTGTATTTTGGGGATCTGAATTGCAGGTATATAATTAGAAATGTTAACTTTTATATCCAAATTTTGGGATAAGCATTGAAACTTCCTATACGGAAAAAAACTCTTCTCCCATCCCTTGCCAATTCTAACAGACTCAAATTTGGACTTAAAACTTCCTGATCTCCTCAACTCTTTGTTTGCTTATTATGTCAGATGACATGAGTAGAGTGAAGCTGATTTGTTCTGCCTTGATGACAGAACCTAACCACAAGTAAAAGGTGCATTAGAATATTTGTTTCTCTTCAATAGCTTGTAATATTGAAACTAACACAAACGTTAAAAATTGTCCTCACTCTAAACCTAAAAGAAATTTCAAGAGCCCTGTGAAAAACTAAAACTCATCCTTATCTCCCTCAAATATTCTGTAGTCATGTTTTCTTAATTTCTACATCCTCTCTTTGTATAAGTGGTTGAGTGAAATAGTCATGCAGGGGTAGCCAAGATGGTCAGAAATACATACAATTGTTTTTCAAATATTCCACATCAACATAAAAACAGATATAATTTAAAGAGAAAAAAAGAGACTATTTAAAAATAATATCTGCATTACATTTTAATTTTAAAAATTAGTTTTATACAATCATTCCAAACCTAAATCAGCTTACAATAATCACCACTGAATCTGTGCAACTACTCTCAATGCTTTTCCATATTTTATTTTATTTTATTTTTTTAGAGGTTTTTGCTATAGGGTGCATGAGCTCACCAGAAAGAGACAGAGAAACAGAAAGTGAGAAATCACCCCCCAGGGGGATGGCCATGCTGCAATCCCTTTTCCTCCATTCTCCTCTCGGAATCTTGGGCACACACGCACATGCGCCCAGTGTGAGTTTAAGCCACTGGGTCTGGGACTGGAACTGTGGTCAACTACATGGGAGTCCAGTGACATAGCCATTATGCTAACTGCTGGTCCCCATATTTTATTATTTTGTAATCTGTTTATAACTCTGGGGATCTGACCCTAAGTTAATTGTTGCTTTTTTAACCCTTTTTCCCTGATCCAAATTAATAGCTTATTCTTTCATGTCCAATTTAAATTGGTTAAGTGTTTACTTTATAGAACTCCAACTACTTAGGTTAGTGGTCTCTTAAAAACAAATACCTCAATGTACCAACATTTTCTAAGTAGACACTCAAAATATCTACTTAAAAAAATGTTGAGGGATAATGCCAGGCTTTGAAAACACTCCCAGTGTTGTATGTATATCTCAGGAGAGGCTGTTCGTTTTCAAGCAGTAAATGATGTGTCTTAGTCATTTCTGCGGTTGGAAACTGCATTCATTTCACAGCTGATATGAGGCGGTCAGTGAAGAGAAGTTTGAAGCATTCAGAAATAGTGTAGGCATGCCAAAGAGAAACCACTATGCAGGAAGTCTGCTTCCAAAGTGCTCTGAAGTACCCTTCAGTAGATTTTTAAAAACATATCAAGTATGAAAAACGTATGTGTTTATCTAAATGAAATTCCCCTATCAATCTACTTTATTTTTCTCTCTAATTAGCCACTCAAAAAAAAAAAAATACTTATGAACCTAGGATCTTGGAGGTTTTGTTTGTTTGTTTGTTTGTTAACCTAATTATTTAAAAGAAAGGGAAAGTCCAGGAGGGTAATGGAATTGGAAGCCAATCTCCAAAACCCAACATGTGAAGTTATAATCTTTTTTTTCTTTTTTTTTTTTTTTAGAGAGGTTTTCACTATAGGGCGCATGTGCTCGCCAGACAGACTGACAGAGACATAGAGACAGAAAGCCAGAAATCACCCCCCAGGGGGGATGGTCACACACCGCAATCCCTTCTCCTTTATTCTCCTCTTAGGATCTTGGTCACGCACGCACACGTGCCCAGCGTGAGTTTTAAGCCACTGGGTCCAGGACGCCAACCGCGGTCAACTACATGGGAGTCCAGCAACATAGCCATTACGCTAACTGCTGGTCCCGTGAAGTTATAGTCTTAATAGAGATCTTTAATGTAAGTGGTAGGAATTGCACTTTTCAGTACTCTTGATTTGTTTTTTAATTAAAAGCTAAATTAGTCCTTTATATTTCTCTATTGCTCTTTGTTGTTCACTAGAACTTAATTTTTTGTTTTTTTGGGGGAACCATCTTTTGGTTTAATGTTTCGTTTGTTTTATCTTTACCATTCATGTTATTTGCATTCATGTCTACTGTCAGGTTCTTTCTTATGTATGTGTACAATCCAGTGGTTTTTAGTACATTCATGGAGTTACATCCATCACCATAGTTAAATTGAGAACATTTTCATCAGCCCAGATGGAAACTTCATACCCCGTAGTCATCATTTCCAACCCTTTTCACAGCCCCACTGCGGCAGCATCCACCAATCTACTCTGTTCCTATAGATTTGTCTCTTTCAGATATTTCATATTAGTAGAGTGATACCCTATGTGATCCCTCATGATTTGCTTTCTCATTTATCAAGTTTTCAGTGTTCTTTCATGTTATTGCATGTGTTGCCATGGCATTTCTTTCTTTGGCCGGATATTATTCTACTGTATGGATAGACCACTTTCAGTGATCTATTCATCAGTTCTCAGATATTTGGGTTCTATCTTATTCTGACTATCATGAATGAAGGTGCTATGAACATTGGTCTACAAGGCTTTTTGTGGATGTATATTTTCCCTTCATTGGATATATACTCAGGGGTGAAATTTCTAGGTAATAGAGTAACTCTTTTTTAATCTTGGACAGAACTCTCAGACTGTCTTGGACCTTTTTACATTCCCACCAGCAGAATATGAGGGTTCTAGTTTCTCCACATCCTCAACAATCATTGCTTACTGTTTTCTGTCTTTTTTATTGTATCCAACCTAGTGGGTGTGAATTAGTATCTCACTGAGAGGATTTTTGTTCTTTTATTCTTTTTTTAAATTTCAGTTTAGCTTACTTAGTCCATGAGTAAGAGAGACAAGGAGAGAGACAGAGAAATACCACTTCTAATAGGTCTTGATGCCCCAAC